GCTGTCTCTGAAATTTAATATAGCTCATTCCTCCCAGCCTGACGTCCATGAGTCCTCAAGGGTGCTTACCTGAGGTAACAGTGAACAAGGAAGATGATGAGCACGCTGCACGCTGCGCACATAGCACTGCCGTGCTAAGATTTTCATGTGCAGTTCTGAAATGCATGCCTTTGGAGCACTGTATTGTGTGTTCGCATGGAAAGACAAATCTACCAGGTGGAGCATCATAACCTGGGAAACTAACCTTTCCTCTGAAGTGTTAGGACAAGGCTGTGGTTTCCCAAGTGTGACGGCCAGCCTGGCTCTGCTTTGACACCGAAGCCCCAAGATATGTTCGTAACCCCAGCTCTTCACAGTTACACCCTCAATCCACTCAAATGGTTTTCATTCACACAGCTGGGTTGTCCTCTCTCACCCCCGCAGGCTGTCTCCTGCCTGCCCAGCTGATGACGTTTTCCTGGCTCCAGCCAACTTCCGTGCTTGTTACAAACAGTGCTCCAGGGGACAAAGAATTGTCTAGATTAAAACAACAACAAAAGTAGGTCGATCTTGCAAGAATCCGGATGGGTGGCCAGCCATCCCACATGAACAATGTGTGATGTTTCTGTCTCTTTCTCTCCCCTCCCCCCATCACAGGAAAAATATCATTATTTCGAGAATGTGAGAGGCTTGGTTGTGGCCAAAAGCCTATTCATCGGTCAGTGTTATAGAGAAACCTGAAGCAATATTCCTAAGCATCCCAGGGAACTGATTTAGTGGCTATATTTGCATTTTCAAAGGGATGACAAGCTTCAGAAGTAGTAGTAAACTCTGTCCTATATGTAAAACTAATTCAAAGACTCTCCTGAAAGTTTTGACAAAAAGTGGTGAAACAAAGACTTAGTTCTTGCAAATAAGATGGACTGGCTGCCTTTCATTTTGATTTGCTCCTTAGAATACTAGTCAGTGGGCTTCTCTTTATAATTCTGATTTACACTCAGTTAAAACTGTTGTCAGGAATGGGAATCCTTGTCATAGATTTGGCTGTGTTTCCAGCCAGCTTTCTGTCTTTCCAATGGCTTCCTCAGGATGGGCTGTTGGTGTTAGAAAGATGTGAGCAAGTTTCCTTTTTTAATCTCTGTATTCAGCTTAGAGGTCACTGGTAAAGCAGCCTTGTGTCAATGGGTGTGAAACCCTCACCATGATAGGTTCTTGGTCCTGATACCTCAGGATGATACCTCAGGATGAGCTCAGTGCATGCAAATTCTTTGCCACTGCCTATGTGATGTATTACTAAAAGTTACTTAATGTTTCTCCCTTGTTGCAGTGCCTAAACTGTAAATAATGATTCCATGTTAGCACAGTGACAATGGACTTCAAACACTTTATACAAAAAAAGAGCTGGTGATTTTTTATAGACTTCAATTCAAGCTGTGTCCCTGTGTGTTTTCTCTGTTTTATTTATTTATTTTTATAGCTCCTGTCATGGTTATAATGATTACCAATGTAGCTATTTATAGAAACAAATGACTATTTTTAGACTAGACAGGGGTTAAGACAAATGTCTTTGTGTTTTGACCTATTCCTGATAGATCCCTTATCAATCGCTAATCATGTTAATCCATGGGTAATCATCTCTTCTTATTAGGTATCCCTAGTTAATTTACATCAACCATTCCTGAGTCAGGGTAGTGAATGATTGTGGCTGCTGGGAAAAAAAAATGGAATTTCTAAAGAGTTCTGGGAGCTTTTATCAAACAGAATACAGGCCTCATTTCGGTTCTTACCCTGGGCCGTTGGTTTTACAGTAAACTGCCACTGGTCCTCATAGGCCATTGGTTATCTAGTCTCTTCACCAATGACCAACTCGGCAAAGCCATAAAAACCCACCGCTATTAATTGTAATAAGAAACATCAGCCTTTTATTTCTAAAGCTCTAAAACAGAGACCAAGTGAGCACCTGATTAATATTAAAGCTTTAGCTAAGACTCTCACACTTGCTTTATGTTTGCCACAGGCTATCATTGAGTGGGAACCAAGAAACAGCCTTTTGAGAGCAAAGCAAATGGGAAATAAAGATCTTTCCTGTGAAAGTTTCTTCATGCAGTATATGTGTATTTTTCTCACCAGAAGCCCATTCATTCATTCCTATGCCTATCACTTCTTCAGGGTCTCATGTAGTAGTCCCTGTCTCTCTGTCTGCCTGGCTCTTTCCTTGCTCTCCTACTGTGACACAATGTCCTAATATAAAAACAAACACAAAAGAACACCAGTGAATTGACAAGTGGCCAAGCCGTCATGTTAGTGTTGAAATAGCTTGTCTAGAATTCTTTACTGAAATGTGATGATGCATCAATGCTGTAACATACTCACTGTTGTTAGTAAGTCAGGCTTCCATTTTCCTATGTTATATATATATATATATATATATGTTTTATATACATATATAAAACTATATGTCTAACCATGTAGTTTGTTTTAGATAAAAATGAGCTTCAGGTGCTTCATTTGAAATGATACTACTATGTGCACCGCTTCATTTTATTTTTTAAATAAACTTCATTGCAGAACTTACAAATAAAAGAAATCACACACCAAAGTTTACTTGACCCCAACTTCTATACAGTTAAAATGGGCATTCAGAATGGAACATACTTTTTTTTTTTCTCACACCATCTACATCAATTCTTTCTAAATTCCGAGTAACTGAGGATTAGAAAAATGATGTTCCCTCTACAATTTTCTGAATAAATAAACTACATTTAGCAATCCACTTGTTTCTCCAGTTTAGTCTGTTCTTTAGGAATGGAGCCCATAACTTTGATTGAGAATTTGCTGAGTTGTAAATAGCACATGATATTTTAGGTGGCACATGTTTGTTTCAGTTGAGAGAACATGTCCTATTTTTGAGGAAGGAAAGACTTGTAAGACATCAAATGTTGCTTGCAAAACAATTTGATGAAATGAATGTAAATGAATCAGAAACATGTGAATTGTGCTGCAATTAAAATTAATGGGTTTAAATAGGAAAAGGGTAAAGCGCTTGGGGGTAAGAGTGTGGCAAGGCAGGAAGTGACATTTGTTTTGTTTTCATTAGTCTTGGGTTCCTGAAAAACAGCCTACTACTGTGAATTTAGCTCCATTCAGATTCTCGAAAGCCAAGTTACGAAATTGTAAAGTGGGCTAATAATACAACTTCATCTATGTATGCGTGGAGAGCTGCCACCATGCAATCCTTTAAAATCGCTTTCAAGGGGAAGCGAATGGTTCCCAGTGCTGTTCTTTCAAGTTTAAACGAGACTTTGTAATGATTATAAAACCTATTTTCATTTTCCTCCACATTCACACATAAACTTCATCTTTCCTTCCTCTTTCTAGTTGAAAATGATCAGATATACCTGAAATGAGAGTGATATACTCTGAGAGGAGAGAGGGAGGAAGAAAAGGAAGGATGGAGGGAGAGAGAAAGAGGGAGAAAGAAGCAATGTAGCAATGTGTGGGCCAGGACATCAAGTGGGATTTCATAATGGAAACACACAAACCAGAATAATTATTTTAGAGACACAAACATTTAATCCACAGTTTCATCCTTATATCTTTTATGCACACTTCAAAGCAAAAATCAAAGCTTTCAAAAGTATGATTTTCATTTGTAGTTTAAAGTTAATGCATTACTCTGAAAAATCTGACAAAAACAAAATAAAATGAAGTAAAAGGAGGCTAGGCCTGGTATTGCTTGCTCATAATCCCAGTTCTTAGAGACAGTGGCAGGAAAATTGTCACCAGTTAAAGATTCAAGACCAATCTGGCCTATGTGGTGAGTTTCAGCAAACACAGCAACACAGTTAAACCTTGTTTCAAAAAAAAAAAAAAAAAAAAAAAAGGACTATCTCAATGCTCTAAATCTAAGCCTGCTGTGTGACTGTGTGACATTACAGTCTCAGAACAGGTACATGTTAAATATTCCAAGAACTTCCAAAAGGCGAGATGTATGTAACTGGAGTCCATATTTTACTTTTATCTTTTGTGTCACTGTCAAACACGCCTTATATAGTTTTTCAGGACTGACTTACTGATGGGTGGAGAATACATTAATTAATAGCCTTGCATAAAGTAGCTGAAGGCATAGTTGTAGAAGGAGGTTGTGTGAGGAGGGCCTCTTTGGGCTTTGTGAGAACTGTGGAGATTCAAGTCCAGCACCTCTCTGGTTATGCAGACACTGTTGTTCTGGAGGAAGCAGGAATGAAGGCAAGGCCTTTTTTGGGGGGGAGTGAGGGGAGATGGTGGTGTGTTGTTGTTTTGTGTGAATATCGGGTTGTTTCTCAGAGTATTCTGGGAATGTTTCTCCTTACCTTTTCACAGGCAGAGTTTGTGAGAAATTTTTTCCTTTTTTTTTCTTTTCTTTAATTAATTAATTAATACAATTTATATCTCCACCATAGGCCCCTCCCTCCTCTCCTGGCAGTCCCACCCTTCCTCCGGAATACCCAGAATAGGGAGCCCCCTACCCAGACAGTCACCCTTGCTCATTTTTTCCCAAAAGTGCTTGTTCTCTGATTGGGCAGATAACATGGTTTAACTTCTAGCAGGTCCATCTGATTGTCCCCCACATTTTAGTAGCAGGTGGGAGTGGCAAGGACACTCCTGTGTTCTGCAGTTAGTGGCAACACAGCAGTCACCAACACAACAGCCTCCAGAAGTCACTTTCACAGCAGGTACTTGTTGGCATGAAGTATAAATCCTTATCCAACACAGGCAAATAAAAATGCACAGGAAATGGTAATTTCATGGTGCTTTTACTTTAAGAGTTTCTTGTCAGTTTCATCGTCGTCACCATCAACAGCCGATACTCATCGGCTAAAAGTCCTGCTGGGGAACATAACGTTCAGAACACCACACAACGACATAGTTCATTCAAGCACTGCAAGGACTTAGTTTCCCTTAGGCTTTGCTGCCTCGGGGTCTTCTCAGTGTCCCGAGACCTCACCCGTTGCTTTCTGTGCTGTTCCTTCTGATGACAGGCCTACCCTTGCAGCAGTGACAAGGAATGCGAAGTTGGAAGATACTGCCACAGCCCCCACCAAGGATCGTCAGCCTGCATGGTCTGTCGGAGGAAAAAGAAGCGATGCCATAGAGATGGCGTGTGCTGCCCTGGTACCCGCTGCAATAATGGTGAGAGAGCTCACCAAGTGCTAACAGGTCTTTCCGTCTCGTGAACCTGTGAACCTGTGTGGAAAGTAGTTTAATGCTTACTTACCCAAGCTTCTGAGCTATAAACCTTTTAGGATTGGGAGATTTGGGTTCTTATATGAGATACCAGAGTCACCTTCCAAATTTTAGGGTTCCCGGGGTCTGACCACTTTCTTGACTGTGTTCTTTGTTGACGTAGACTTTGGAAAAATTGAGGTGTTGTATGCAAAAATCTCTGAATGTTTTGCTTCCTAAACATATGAATACCAAGATAAGCAGTGCAGTTGTGAGTCCCTTGACTAGGCTCGTGGGAATTTTGAATTATAATCATTATATTCAAGATGTCCTGGAACAGCCTTACTAGGTGAGGGGTGACTGGCCCTTTAAGTACAAAGGACTCTATCCTGTAGCCTGACTGCACTCAACCCTAATGAAATGACAGGCAGACATTTATTCAGCATTAGTAATGAACTGACATTCACAGATAACACAGGATTAAGTAACTGCGGAAAGTGGTTAGAACATAAATTTAATCATAGAAAAGTGGCACAGTCAGGCTCATATTGCCATGCCTGCTCTGGTCTCTAGGCATAAACCAGCTGTGAGCACCATTGGAAGGAACGGAAGGGAGGAAGGAAGGCCTCACACCATTTGAGAAGTGTGTAGGTTAGATTGAGATTGTTTTGCTCATGAACAGAAAAGATGCTGGACCAACGACTTAAGAGAAAATGGCAGATACTTATTTAATTATTCACTGTGTCACTCTTCTAAGTACTTTGCATATATTTACAATGATTCAAAGACATTAATTCTGTTTTTGGTCCCATTTTGTTGTTGCTTGCAGTGTCATTTGACCATGAAAGAGGCAAAATTCATATCTAGGAAGGTTGGCTTTAGAGCCGAAGTATTCTATCCTCAGTAAGTAAGTGGTAAATGAATGAGCTAACAGATAAAAGGATAAGTACATAGTAGGTAGATGAAGAAATAGACACACGAATGGGTTCCTAACATGGACCAGGATGAACAGGACAGGTTAGAAAGTGATAGTGATCTGTTTACATCCTGTTTCTAGGCATCTGCATCCCAGTCACTGAGAGCATCCTGACGCCTCATATCCCAGCTCTGGACGGCACTCGGCACAGAGACCGCAACCATGGTCACTATTCTAACCATGACCTGGGATGGCAGAATCTAGGAAGGCCCCACACCAAGATGCCTCATATAAAAGGTAGGAGCACCTGTTCTTCCATGTTTCTTTACTCTTTCTTTTATAAGGAAGTAAAAGAAAGTATAGTTAATAGTTAATTCATCTTGGTTTTTTAAATCCATTGTTAAAATGTTCGTTAATGGACAATTTCAAATTTGAGTTTATTGATTTTCACCTTTGAAAATGCTAGAGATCTCATAGAACTGCCAGAAAATACATATTATGAGAAAGGCAGTAGCCTGATCTGCCATGCCATTTTTCTAAACCCACTTCTCTTTGCACACGAAAATTGAGAGGAAATCTTCTAAACAAACCTGTCTGGTCCAAACTTACCCGAGGGTAAAGCACTCACTGTGGAAAATGTATGAGGAAATACTGTTGCTGGAAATTAAATTCCCAGCCATTGTTTTTTTTTTTTTTTTTTTGCCTTTGCAGATTCAGGAAGTTGATTTCACTAAGCAATCAGATGGCATGTTATTTATAGACTAATCTATGAGAAGCAGTTGGTTTCAAGTTGGGTTATGCATGACTATGAAGTTCCCTTCCTCCCATCAGGACATTTCAGAGTTACTGGAGTTCAGAGCTCAGCAATAACAAACTTGAATAGTATGAAATTATTTTACTACTAGTAAAAATTTGAAAGCATGAAGTACACTTATACTCAAAGGAGGCCTTTTCCTAGTGTATCTGTGTATTCCTCTTTCAAGATGTATGTGATTTAAAATGCCCAGGGTTCTACAGAATCTTGTAATGGAGCATCTTCCTTTTCTTGGGAATTGGTAAACAACTTCATTCTCCCCTTTTTAAATTTTTATTGTATTTATTTTTTATTCACTTTACGACTTTGTTGTAGCCCCATCCCTCCTCCTCTTCCAGCCCCACCCTCCCTTCCTCCCTTCCTCATGCCCTTTCCCTCAGAAAAGGGGAGCTCCCTTTCCCATTCACCCCAGCTCATCAAGTTGCATCAGAACTGAGCATGTCCTCTTCCCTTGTGGCCTGGCAAGGCAGTCCCGCCTGGGGAAGTGATCAAAAAACTAACAAGTTAGTCCATGTTTGATGCAGTTCCCACTTCCCTTACTAGAGGACCCACATGAAGCCTAAGCTGCCCATCTGCTACATTTTTGTAGAGGGCCTAGGGAATTTTTGATGAACTGAAGTGCTCTGAGAAGTTCTGATGTGAAAATGTAGTTTCCTGTGATTGATTGATTGAACGTTTGTTTGTTTGTTTGTTTGTTTTTGTTTTTGTTTTTTTGAGACAGGGTTTTTCTGTTTAGCCTTGGCTATCCTGGACTCACTTTGAAGACCAGGCTGCCCTCAAACTCATAGAGATCCACCTTCTTCTGCGTCCACGAGTACTGGGATTACAGGCATGTACCACCATGCCTGGCTCCAAGTTTCCTTTTCTAAACACGTTATTTCTATAGTTTGTCTCACCACAAAACCATTTTCCCACATTTTCATCTTCTGAAAAGACAGTCTCCTGGAAAAAATGGACTCATTCCTGTAGCCTAGACTGCTAGTGGTCATCTGTATAATGCTGGCAAATAATTTATCTTTATCATTTATCTGTACCTCCCAAGACCCTGAAGTATTTCCCATACTTATTTCTACTTCATCAAATTCCTACCTAGTTGGCATTACATGAGCGCCTTTCCTCATTCTAGCAGACATCTAAGTCACAGCACTATTCAAAAATCTATTAATTATTCCAATCTGACCGTATATGAAATGTGCTAGTGCAAATAGGAAGTGTTGTATTGCATGCATGGCTCACGAACTGCATAAAATCCCTACAGTGAAATTAGCTACATGTAGAATGATAGAGAATCCTTTAGACCACAGGTGGCCAAAAGACAGCGTTTGAGCCTCATCGGCACCACCAGGTTTTCTAAGTAATGCTTCAAAAAGACACAGACCTACATGTTCATTTAGCTCTTCTCTGTGCCTGAGTTTTACAACACAACACTGAGGAGCTGTAACAGCGTCACGGCCCTAATGTATTTGCAATCTGGCAGCTAACACAAATATTTGGCAACCCCTGCCTTACACTGAAACACAAATCAACGCAGCCAAGATGTGTGTGGGAAGGTGCTCTTTAGCGACTTCATCTTTTTTTGTGAGTGTGCATAGTAGCCAGCTTTGTAATCCCACGGATTTTAGAATAAGTTCTTGGTTGCCCCTGAGCCTGATGGCTCTGAGCTAAGGTGGCTGCCTTCTCTCTGCTCTGTTCTGTCTCACAGCTCCTTGTAGGCTGTGTTCCTACCACTCTTTGTCAGATGCTTTCGGCTGGGTCTAAACAGCTTACTCGTCTCACTGCCTCCGTTGGTATTCTGGCATGACTGTATTTTCGCAAGTCTTCAGTGCTATCAGGTGGGGCTATTAGATTCTGGCTAGTGAATCCAAATCCTGGTTGCCAACATCACCTGCTCCTTGGGGGTCTCTTGCCCTAAATGCGGTAGTGAATTCCTGCTGCTGACCAATCTCTCATAATTCCTAGTTCATCCACCAATTCTCTGCACTAAATAAAATGTGCTACTAATTCACAGCTGGACTTAACTGACAAATGATGTCAAGAGAAAAATCTCTAATAAAATTAAAGGTATTAACAGGTGAAAGGAGAACTACATTCATGTTTTCAATAGATGCCAGAAATATATTTGACAAAAACTCCTAATTCAGTACTGCCTAAAAAGGCAGAACCGTGAAACAGGACCATGGTTTCATACATATGTATGTGTGTAAGCATTTTAGTGGAAAAGTACTGTTTCCATTTACCTCAAATAGAGAGAGCAATCACATCCTGAAGAAACAATTCCAGACTGTTGACCCAATGGTCTTATTGTAATTTCTTGCAGGAGTGTGGGCAACTTATGGACAATTGCACTACTTCCCTCATGGAACCCACAGGAAAGCTTTGCGAGGATCTGGGAAGATCTTGAGTTTGAGGGCAGCCTAGGTTAGAATTAATGCAGAGACTTACGACTGCTCAGTGTGCTGAGAATGAGTGACGGTTGAGTGCTCGTTCCTAAATAGGACATCTATATCACTCTGTCCAAGGATCAGGGGACTAAATGGAAGAAGGACAGAAAAAAATGTAAGAGCCAGAGCTCCTTTCTGGAGTTCCAACCCCCCCACCCCCACCCTGTAAGTGCTGGGTAGAGCATACTATCTTTTATGTGATTCCAGCCTTAGAAGGCAAAGACAGGAGAGCCCCAGAGGAAGCTGTCTAGCAAGTCTGACCATATCAGTTACATTGCCTTTTCCTCTTGTCTCTACGTTTGATTGAGAGATCCCGGCTCAAAGAGTAAGGTAGAAGAGTGATGGAGCATGATACCCAACCTCAGCCTTGGTCTCTCATTTACATGTACACATGTACTTGCACATACACACATACATGCACTCCCACATAAGCAAAAAGCATGCATATATGTACACTACGCATACATATATGCATACACATATGCATACACACACAGAGAAATAGACAAAAAGTAGACTATGATGAATTGAACATGAACACAGTCTGGCTATTTATTAAACTTCATATTCAGGTGGTAGATAATGGAAAGAGACAAAAGCAGATTTGTGAGAGTTAAAAGAGAACAAACTGGTGTGAATCCAAGACTTTTTTTTCCCAGTGGCAACATAATTCAAGATAAGGCAAGTAACAGTATTTTCTGTGATTCTGATTGCAAAGTAGAAGTTGTTCCCAAGAACGCTTGTAATCCTTTTTGGTCATGTTTTCTGTAGGGCATGAAGGAGACCCCTGCCTGCGATCATCAGACTGTATCGATGGATTTTGCTGTGCTCGCCACTTCTGGACCAAAATCTGCAAACCGGTGCTCCATCAGGGGGAAGTCTGTACCAAACAACGCAAGAAGGGCTCCCACGGGCTGGAGATTTTCCAGAGGTGTGACTGTGCAAAGGGCCTGTCCTGCAAGGTGTGGAAAGATGCTACCTACTCCTCCAAAGCCAGGCTCCACGTGTGCCAGAAGATCTGATAAGCACTGGAAGAGTCATTGCTAGCAGACTGTGAATTTGTGTATTTAATGCATTATGTCGTGATGGAAAATCCAGTTTGGAATTTGGAATAATGAGGGATGTGGTAAGAGTGTGGAACACAGGAGGGCAGGACTGAATTTAAACCAAGACTGTGACAACCAAAGCACAGTGTTTCCATTATGCGACTTGTTTATGTAAATAATGTACACATTTGTGAAAATGCTGTTATTAAAAGAGAGCACACCATGAAACTTACTGACAAATACCACAAAAATAACCTTAAGCCACATTTCTACTCAAAGCTACAGTTTAATAAATTACTCTCGCTGTCCCTTGACATAAGATAATCTCTAAAACATGGGAAAAGCTGATGGGCAGGAAGTGAAAATATCCAGCCTTATTAATTCGCATCATAAAAGTCACCTTTTAATTTGGAACTCCACTTTGACTTCTCAAATAAAGGTCTTGGTAGACAAGAGGAAAAGGCAGTCAATGGTTTCCAAATCACTTCAAGATACTGGCATGCCATTTAGACATTAGAAAAAGGTAAACATGTGTCTTTTCAGACCATTCACTTCTTTCTTCAAAAACCTAATTTCCCCTGAATCAATCAAGACAGATATAAGATGAAAACAGATCCTGCATTGTGAAGGAATGACATCTCAAACATAATACCCACTCAAGCTAGCATCGTTAACTGTGCCAAGTGCAGTACAAGCAAGCAAAGGGCAGAATTTTCATAGATTGCAAAAACATTCAAGATGTCTAAAACATGAGGGAAACTGAAAATGGAGTAAGCATTGTTTTGCCAGAGCTTTGACATACCCTACATGTGGTAGAATTAGACCGCTAAATACATTTATCTTTGCATAGCTGGAGACCAGTAGGTCAAAGGTGACCCTAGAGACTTGACTGATATCTGTACTGTGTCAAACACAGCAGGGAAGTAGAGGAAACCTTGTTATTTGTCCAGACTTTAAGATCACATGTCTGAAGCACAGGCTGAATGTTCATGGCTAATACCAATGGCTCCACAAAGTTGAAACTCTCCATGGAATTTGTTCTTCTCATGCAGATGAGTTCAGTGCAGTGCCTGAACTTTCCCAGCTGTATTATATTTCATGGTTTTGAGGATGCAAAAGAATCTCGATATAAGGGGATCTTACACATCGGATTCTTTTAAACCAGGTGGTACAAGAGGAACAAATGTCACCAGAAGTTTCTGTACGAACCTTTCAATGGAATAGGTATTCCAAGGACATAGTTTCTATTTTCTGCAACTATTGAGAGTTAAAAAGTTTAATACTATGTGGAACGAACATTCACATATCTCTAATCTATAGAAGTTACCTGAGACCACTCACTACTTTCTGATTTAACATAGTTCTAAGTATTATGTCTAGAGCATAAAAGACAAAAAAAGGTTATCATGCTGTTGCTTAAGTTCTTATAGACCCCACATTACTTTCTTGCTTTACTTAAGACCCATCTGCAATCTCAAAGTCCAGTCCTTGAAGAGTTTCAGCTTCTGACACACATCTTGCCAGGATGATCATGGTTTGTGCTCTGCAGATGTCTGCTAGAGCAAAAATCATAAGCTAATTTATCCAATAGCAAAATTTGTGGTTTAAGCTTGGTGGTGTGAAAAATGGAACAATTTGGTCAGAATTTCCTACAGAGCAATGACACAATCTAGTTTATACAGTATCTCCTTTATATTCAGCCTCTCAAAAAGTATTATTTGGAATAATTTATTTACAGGAAATGTTAATGAGATGTATTTTCTTATAGAGGTGTTTCTTACAGAAAGCTTTGTAGCAGAATATATTTGCAGCTGTCAACTTTGTAATTTAGGGGAAATGTATAATAAGATAAAATATATTAAAATTTTCTCTTTCAAAGAATTGAATGCAAAGTGACTTGTGTCTTCTTGTGGGAAAAAAAAACACTCACAGGATCCTAAAATTTTAGAGTTTTAACAGGATTTGGTATTAGCCTTTAGCATGAAAGGGAATCACCAGAATATCAGTACCGTGAGGTGACCCAGTTAGTTGTTACCAAGACAGCTCATGGCACAACAGAATGCTTATGATTGCTATTTATAAAGTTAAGCCAACATATTCACACTTATGACTTCCACCCATCAATTCTTCCTCAGACTTCAGGAATCTCTTGAAAGAAGGGATCTCTACAAACCTCTTCAAAAACTCTTGAGGATGGGTAATATATTTCCCACAACCTTCTCTCTTAGGAGAAAATTTTCCAAAATGGAGACCCAGCATGATTAGTGGATTCTTTTATTTTTTGTATTCTAGGAAATCAATACTGTTAAGTTTCAAACCTTGGATAAATGGCTGAGTGTCTATTTAATGCATCAAAGTGAACACTAACAGCCAACTTCACCCTACATCCCTCAGGCCCTACCTGTTACAGGGTCCTCCTGGCTGGTATACCTTACCCCTAGTCTGAACTCTCCAGCCCACAAGGATGGGCTGGTCTCCCCTATATAATCCAACCTCTTTGGCTTTCTGCTCTTTTTGCACCTTTGTGTCTTCTGGCTGCTGCACCTGATAGCCCTCTATCCTTCTTCCTTTCCCTGCCCCCACCTCTCCTGACATGGCTCAGGGTCATATCCACACTGGACTCTCCCAAATGTCCCTGCCTCTGGCTCTGCTCTTCCACATATGTGTAATAAACTTTCTCCTCCACCATACCTAGGACCGGTCATTTCCTTTCATTTTTATTTCTTTTTTCATTGAGCTACAAGCAGTCATAACTGTGGAGGGAAATGAATCCATTTATTTGGGCCCAATTAACCCCAGTCTACTTGCTGGCAAGATGGTTTTTCTTCTCTTCTCTGAGCCTTAAGGGTCAGGAGTATTTGACTGACAATGCTCAGCATGAAATCTAGGTGGGTGTAAAAGTCCCATGCTGTTTTGTGTGCAGAAATGCAAAAAGCAGACATTCTGTGACAAAGTGGGATGAATCACCTGTAGCAGCTTAATGAAGCCAGAATAGTTCCAGGGCTACAGGAAAGAGTTAAAGATCCCCTAAGCACGGCTGAACTAGTCCCACATCATTTTAATCAGTCACCTAGGGTATTCCTAGTCATTCATTCTCTCAAATTGAGACCATTTGTATTTCCTTGTGAAAATGTATTTTTAGACTCTAACAATCATATTAGTGACAGTTTTTTTTCTTTTCCACTGCACTAAATGGCATGCTATGAAAAGTGACAAACGTCCACTTCCGCCACCCCCTTTTAACCTAACTGTGTCCTCCATCATTTGGGGAACAATTATTTAATTATGTATTTTTCTTCCTTCAAATGCAGGCTCGTTAAGAACAAAGGTCTTTCAAAAGGCCAGATAACTAACCAGTACTCTAGCATAGATAAAGTTAACAGTGGAGAATAGACCACATATCTATGGACAAAGATCTTTCCATAAACAAACCACTAATATGAGATTGTGACCATGTGACACTGAACTACAGTAGTTCTGTGCTGTGTGAACTTTCCTTCCACATTTCCTCCATGGACAGGCAGAACAGAATGACATTCTTCCTCTCCAAGTTGGCGTCGAAGGTAAAAAAGGCGTGACAAAGTATGCTTGCATTTCCCATTCAAGAATTTTAGTCAAAATTCCCCTAAACTGGACAACTCATATCGTGGAAGTGAGTGAGGGATGAAAGTACTGCTAGACTCCATACTGACTGTTCTACAATAAGACTCTCCCTTCTAACACACCATTCTCCATTGCATTCCATTGTATAAAATTATTCCTATATTATGGAAGTCGTGGTTTTAGAATGAAATGTGACCTACTATTTGTCAATGCAGTACCATGGCTGCATTGACATGCATACCAAATATGATCCTTGTATCCCATCCAAGATTCACATGGAGGTAACTTGAACCCTGGGGAGCAGGATTGGAGGGCACTGTGGATCTTTTAAGAGATGAGCCTAATGGAATACCCATGAGCCACTGAGGACGTGCCTTCAGGAAGGGGTGTGGAATCCGAATCTCTCTCATTTCTGGTTTGAGATGTAACAATTTGTTTCCAGATGTACATCCACCATGATTATCAATATCATGAGGCAAAGTATTCAAGGGAACCATTACCATGAGGTCCTTTGCACTCTGTCATGCACTCTGCCATCTCCATATCCCCTTTAGTATAAGTTCTTTAAACAGATCTGAGGTGATACAGGCACCACGAGAACAAGTGAAGTCAATGATTTCATCTTTATATTGCAGTTAATATTTTACCAGGATGGATAGGGAAACTTACTAAATAACAAATATATTAACATAAATGAGAGACAAGAGTGAGCAGTATGAATAAAAGCCAGAGTAAGAGAGAAGAAAAAGGAAAGGATTGGAGTTTGTATTTTAAAACTACCAGGCAAGGACTGCCTCTTAGAATAAAGTTTGCAGAAAGCCTGAGTGAATTGAAGATCTACAGGAACAGTGAGCACAATATCAAGAGCTTGCAGCTGACTGGAGAGGGGTGGGAGGAGATGAATGAGACAAAGACAGAGCAGGACTGGGGTCGGACACTAGAGAACTGTACTGCCACAGCAATTTTCACTTTGAACAAGGTTGAGCTGGTAGAGGCTTTGGAAGGGAAGGACACGAATGGGCATGTTTTGCAAGGATAGGGCTGCTAATCAGAGGTTGGACAGTTTGATGGACACTTAGGCAGGATCTCATGGTCGCCTACTATACTGAGGAAAGGTAGAATTCATGAGAAGTGGCTGGGCTTAGGATATGAGAATTACCTGGACCAACTGCAGACTAGATGAAAGTTATTAAGAAAGAAGGGACTCTCTGAGTCTAGATGATAATCAAGAACATAGGAGGAGGAACTGTTCTTAAGAGAAGCTAAAAAAAAAACACTCTATATATTTAGTAGACAAATGTTTTATGTAATATATATATATATATATATATATATATATATATATATATATATATATAAATCTTTTACCAGCCATCTTGACATCTTAAAAGATTCTATGCAGAATGGAGCATATTATCAAGAAAGAGTTTGTTAGATACACTGAGGGAAGTAATTGCAGAAAAACAGAGGGATGCGAGAGGGGCAGGATGATACAGGGAAGACAAGAAATCCAAGCTAGAGCATGGACCAAGCAGAGTTTTAAGTGAGAACATAAAAAGGAGATTCATCCGCTCAAGTCTGGAAATCCTGAAGGGCACTAATAAGGAATTTCAATTTGATACAGATGTCAAAGGGTGTCAAGGAAAACTCATGAGGAGAGACTAGTTGACTCACAGCGGTAGGGTTAGAAAATTACTTTAGCAAAGGGTGTAGCTCAGGCAACATTCCTATTGACATCGGGCCAATGAATTGCATTAAAGCCCAATTTGTCAAAGCAAGTCATAGCTCTCTTTGAGCATTAAGTAAGTGCATAGCGGCGGGCCTGGGAATTCTAAAGAAATAACAACATGCGAGTAATTGAAGTACTTTCACAAGAAATGCACTTACCATCATGCCTCTCACACATACGTCATGAATACCACAGAACACAACCTTTTAAATTTTCCTGGGGGTCACCTTTCTTATAGATGCTATGGACTTGTTTTATTTGCTCCACACCTTCCCCCTTCACTGCACCTGCTACAGCAGTCCTCATCCTGTTGTTTAATGGCCAGTCAGCCTCTAGAGCCCCATAACAGATGGAGAACATCAGGCCAGCATAGCACATGTAAGGTATTCTAAGTCCTACTTAAGTGTTTCAGACAAACATAGAAATTGAGACCGTTTTGTCTTCCATTTCTTTTTCTGTCTTGTTTATCATTCCCGACAGCTGTGTTTTGTTTTGTTTTGTTTCTGTTCCAATGGCTTTTTTTT